CTTCGAAGCCACTCGCGAAACGTGCAGGCTCTTAATGGCCTGCAGCAGGAAGTGGGAAACTTGAGCCTGAGGCTCCATGCCCACCCTTGCCACCTTTGGGACGGCTGTGCTTCCAGTCCTTGTAGCACACGTGGCAGGAGCATCTGCCGACATGATCTTCGCATGCAGTCCTCCGAGTACACAGCCTCGATTGGCAGTGCGAGCATGGTCCTTTTGGAGCTGGTGCAGCAGGACGAGGCATCTGTTCCATGACCAGCTCGTGCAAACGAAGCACCTGGTAGTTCGGCAAGCTTCGAAGCCACTCGCGAACTTGGGCATCCGTCATCGCCCCCAGATCCATGCCGGGGAGCCAAGCTATATAGGTTCCAGGGACAAGTCTGACCTTCTAATTTTTGAGCCCAAACCTTCCTGCATGGAGCATAGGTATTTGCAACAGGAAGCATGCATGCAGCTGACCTGCCCTGCCATTCAAGCTCAAGGTAGGAGAGGTCCTCCTAAAGAGCTAGGAGAACCCCTCCTGCACACCAAACATGCAAGGCCGACGATTTGTGCGAGCACCTGATGCCAAAACTGCCCTATTCCAGGCGAGACAAGATCGAGTCAAAATCGATCAGTCCTCTGCCAATGCGAATTTCAGCTGCCGGGCACGATTGAAAGTGAGCTTATCCTTTTGGATTCGCTTCACTGCTTTCGCAGCTTTCTCGACATGATCGGCATACTTGGCTGCTTGAAATTCTACGATGAGTTTCTGCCTATGCTTGGACCCGTCACAGTAGCAAGCAGTCACATATGTCCTCGGGGGCTTCTTGGCAGTGCTCTTCCGGACGAAATGCAAGATGGTTTCCTCCTGCTGCTTCGCCTCCGCCAACTGTGCAGCTTGGACATCCACCTCTGAGGACTTGGGCACTTCTGCTGTCTCTGCACCTGCCGGCTTCTTCTTCACCTGCCCGGCAGCAGGCTTGGTCTTCAGGGCAGCCTTCAGGACTTTCTTGCCGGTCACCCGACTCACCGGAGCAGTCAGCTCCTCGAGCTTGCCTGAGGCAAAGGCCCTCACATGGCAGCCACGACCAGCATCAAAGTAGTCCTTGAAGTCAGCTGCAGGAGGCACGTCCTCCATTTCGCCTTCCTTTTCAGGAGACACCTCCTCGCCCGAGCTCGCGATGGAGTGCAAGCTCTGCGAGGACTGCACAGCCACGACCTCCAGCAAGTCCTCTCCATCCTCCTCTTTCTGCATTGTGCGACTGGCCGCGAGACCGTAGGCATGTCGTACCTTGCTGCCAGGGCTCAGTTCGGCCTTACTGGCAAGGCTCACTTTCTCGACCATGGGCTCGGGACTCGGCTTCGAATCCACAGCTGAAGGGCTGGCTGCTGAGCTCGCCGAGGTTGTAGAAAGCCGTCTGCATGGTTGCTCCTTGTTCGCCTTCATCACTTGCAGGACCCGCCAAACTGCTTCCGGTGTCTTCTTCCCCGAAGTCACACTTTTGCATTCTCGGACATGCTGAACACATCGCACCAACTGCTGGGCGAAGCTTTTGCAGTCGGACTTGGATGTGTGCTCGAAAACTAGCTTGCAAGCTTGAAGTAGAAGCTTCTCTGTCGGACGAGGGGTGGCCAGGAGAAGGTCTTTCAGGAAGTCTTCGAACGTCTCGATGACCTTGCTCGTGTCTGCTATCATGTACTCCGACTCCGGAGGCAGTTTGGTCAAGTTCGCACCTCGCATCAGCTTCGCAACTTCTTTCGGCGAAGCTGTGTTTTTGGCTCGCTCCTTCCCAGCCATGCTCTCACAAAAAAAAATCCTAGGCTGTATACACAAGCTCGAGCCGACAAGTCTGCAGGCAGAGGTAAGCATGCATGCAGTCAGAGCTATGTGCAAGCAAGGACATCTCTGGCTGTCAACATATGCATGTATACACAGGAGGTCTTCCTCCCAGCAGGGCTGCACAGAACTCTTCAGGGTTTCCTGCTTGCTCCAGCACCTTTCCCACTCGACTAAACTCTCAAGCAAGAAGATCAATTTGGAGATACACATGAGCAGATTTTTTTCCAAGGAGGCACTCCTCGACAGGAGAGTCCTCCTATAGGGGACCTCACCATGCAAGTCTTGCAAGGGATATGACTTTCCACCGCGAGCTGATGTTTGCTACCATGTCTTTTCACTCAGGAGGGATCCACCAACCTCAACACAAATCAATCTGCCAAGATGCAGCTGACCTCGAGCCTTTAAAATTGTGCAGGCAGAACAGGACGGCATGTAGACCCATTGTTCTTTTCGAGAGATATGTACACACACACACATCTCCTCGGATCTGCTCCATCGATCTCGACCATTCACTTGCATGCCAGACAGTGTCTTTATGAAACATGTTGGGAAAGAAAAGCCCTTAATTAACAGGTGTGATAAAACCCTTTAATTAAGCAAATAGCGCTTAAATCAAATTAACGCATAATCCCTTAACCATGATTTAAAGACTTTTGGAGTCTCTGGGGATTGTCGATGCATCCGTCTCGCGTGGCTGACTCGACCTTTGCCTTGCACTGCGGGCACTCATACGAGAAGCGTGCGATCGCCGACCCGGTCGCGACGACTTTGCCTGCGGCGACCCTAAACTGGTGTCCGCATTTCCGTCGATTGTCGATGCATCCGTCGCGCGTGGCTGACTCGACCTTTGCCTTGCACTGCGGGCACTCATACGAGAAGCGTGCGATCGCCGACCCGGTCGCGACGACTTTTCCTGCGGCGACCGCGAACATGTGTCCGCATTTCCGTCGATTGTTGATGCGTCCGTCTCGCACGGTCGATTCGACCTTTGCCTTGCACTGTGGGCACTCATACGAGAAGCATGCGGTCGCCGACCGGGTCGCGACGACTTTTCCTGCGGCGACCGTAAACCTGTGTCCGCATTTCCGTCGATTGTCGATTTGTCCGTCTCGCACGGTCGATTCGACCTTTGCCTTGCACTGTGGGCACTCGTACGAGACGTGTACACGGCCGTCTTTGACTTCCGTCGCAACAGCTTTGGCGCAGGCGTCGCAGCGAGCGCCACATTCTCGTCGGTTGTCGATGCAGCCGTCTCGTGTGCTTGACGCAACCTTGGCCTTGCAGCGCGGGCAGTTGTACGAATATCTTGTGGCCGTCGACCTACTCGCGACGACCTCGCCCGCAGCCACAGTAAACTGGTGTCCACATTCTCGTCGGTTGTCGATGCATCCGTCTCGTGTGCTTGATTCAACCTTCGCCTTGCATTGCGGGCAATTGTACGAATACCTTGTGGCTGTCGGCCTACTCGCCACGACCTCGCCCGCCTCCACAGTAAACTGGTGTCCACATCGTCGTCGGTTGTTGATGTGCCCGTCTCGTGTGCTTGATTCGACCTTGGCCTTGCAGTGTGGGCACTCGTACGAGTATCTGGCGGACGCCGACCGAGTCGCCACGACTTTGCCTGCAGCGACAGCAAACTTGTGTCCGCATTGCCCTTGGTTGTTGATGTGCCCGTCGCGAATGGTTGACTGGACCTTTGCCTTGCACCGCGGGCACTCATACAAATACCTTGTTGTTGCCAAGGAAGCTGCTACGACCTCGCCGGCAGCGACCGTCAACCTGTGTCCACATTTTCGTCGCTTGTTGGTGCGTCCGTCCTGCGCGGTTGACTCCACCTTTGCTTGGCATTGCGGGCATTCGTAGGAATACTGTTGCCTCTTCGCTGCCGCCGTCGCTGCGACTTGCCCCTCCACCACAGCAAACCGATCTCCGAAAGCTTGGTCAGGGACCATGGCTGGACTTCCGCCGGCGTTTTGCGCGGCGCTGTCCAAAGCAAGTTTCCTGGGCGCGGCTCCCCCTTCATGCAGGTCAACGCTACGTGCTGTGCACGCCAGACATTCGTCGCTGGTCGTCTCGGCCTTCTGGGCGCCGCTCCCAGGGGTGGTTTCGGATCCCGTGCAGAAACCCTAAACCCTAAACCCTAAACCCTTCTTCAACCCCTAAACCCTAAACCTTAAACCCTATGTTGGACGGCTTGGGCGTGGGCAAACCGACCCTTTGGCGCGTATCATATGTAAAAGATATAGTTTACAATATGCAATATGATATATCATATAATACAATATATATCTATATATCACATATAATACATAGCATCTAGTATGCAGTATCTACTATATAGTAAATCGTATTTCGTATCTAGATATTGTAGGTTGTAGTATATATATCTATATAAACATATATTACATATTGCATATTTATATACATATGTTACATATTGCATCTTGCGTGCCGGAACCCCCCCCCCCCCCCCCCCCCCCCCCCCCCCTCTCCAATAGATACGCTAACCCCCCCCTCCCGGAAAGCACGCCGCTAAGCCGATACGCCGCTTCCCCCCCCTCCTCCCCCGGAAATTGTACGCCGTTCGCCCCCCCCCCCCAAAGCCTCTGGGAAATATGCCCATGCGCCGATAAGCCGTTCTCCTCCCCCCCCCTGCCTTCCCCTCCAAATACACCAATACGCCAAGTCCCCCCCCCCCCCCCCCCCGACATACGCCGATACGCGACCCCTGCGGGGGCTTCCATCAGCAAGATTCCACGAGGAACAGGCGCAGGGAATACACAAGCACCCCTGACACCCGAAGCCGTCCAAAGCGCAAGCCCGGACGGCCTCGTGTTCACGTGACATCCTGCCGACGGACCCCTGCAGACCCCCCTCCACCCTGCCCCCTAGCCCTGGACCCTACACCCCGCACCGTCCGCCCGGCTGTGCTTCCCCTGTTGGGGGTCGGCGGCACTGGCGGTAGCCATTAAATAATTTAGAAGGTCATGCTGACGGGCTAAGCCCACCGCCCCTGATGACCAAACCCCCCCCTTCATCACACTGTCATATGCCCTGAGAAATGCCTACGCCCTAACCCGTAAATCCCACTCCCCAATCCAAGCCAAGTGGGCACAACTTTGCAAAACTCTAAACTCTAAACCCTAAACCCCTCATTATGTCATTGCCAGAAGCCAACGGCCTCGACCGTCAGCGGCGGTTCCGCCGGCTCCTGGCCAGAGTTTTGGGCTTACGGGTTTGCTTTGCAGGGTTGGTGGGGTGGGAATTTGGATCCTGACGCTTGTAAGGCGCCAGGGTTTGCAAGTTTCTGGTTGAAGGTTTTCAGGGTTGCGTGTGTGTTTTTCGTGTTTCGGGCTGAGCGTTTGCGGGTCTAGCATTCATTTCGGTTCTACTGAAACTCTACCCACAACACATTGCCGACTGCCCTAGCAAGGGTATGTCGTGGGTGTTGTGTTTTCGGGTTGGGCGTCTGAGGGTCTAGGCTGTAGGATCTGCTCTGAAACTCTACCGGAACCTGCAAGTATCCCAACTTCTTGCACATTGCCCAAGAAGAAAGAGCTGCAACAGCAGCAATTTACTTGGGGCTCACAAGTGGTAAGGCGTTGAGGGTTGGGGGCGAAGCGTTGCCCTCAACCCTGAACACCTGAACCCGCAAGTCGAGAAGTTTCACGTCGGCCCATTTTTAGCCCAGAAGCCCGAAACCATGGCGTCCCAATCCAACCAAGTGATCCCCCGTCATTACCCTAAACCCTAAACCCTAAACCCTAAACCCTAAACCCTAAAGCCTAAACCCTAAACCCTAAACCCCATGTCATTGATCCAAGGCCTCCGCAGGCTCCTGGCCAGAGTCGAAGGATGAAACCCCCAATAAACCCTAACCCCCCCAAACCCCTAAACTCCAAAACCCCAAAACCCATAAACCCTAAACCCCTAAACACCAAACCCCAAACCCCAAACCCCCAAAAAGCCTAAATCCCTAAACCCCAAACCCCCCAAAAGCCCTAAATCCGGAACCCTAAACCCTAAACCCCAAAAAACCACACACCCCCCCAAACAAAAAAATAAAAAATAAACCTATATCCGGAACCCTAAAGCCCTAACCCTAAACCCAAAAACCCTAAACCCTAAAATTCCCGAAACCCTAAACCCTAAACCCTAAACCCTAAGCCCTCCTTAAGTGCACCCCTCGCGCTTGCCAGAGGCCCCAAGAATGCCTCGGAGGGCAGCTGGGGCTCCGCGGGCTCCTAGTCCCGTAAAGTTGGAGGCTCAGGGTGCTTAAGAACCCAAGAATAGCTGGGGTTTAGGGTTTAGGGTTTAGGGTTTAGGGTTTAGGGTTTAGGGTTTAGGGGTATCACTTACGGCACCTATGGGGCTTATAAGTGGGTCACAAGTACAGCTATAATTGGGTTAGAAGTACCATGAACCTCCAACAAACCTTGGAGCATGGTTTAAGGGTGACTAGTGCTGGGATTCCCTTCAGCAACCCTCTCCTTTAGTAACTTTCTTGGGGTCTGAGGCTGAGGAGTGTGCTGTTCCAACTTTTTGGGAACTTGCCGTACGGCTTCCGTAGTCCCAGAGGCTCCATTTGTAGTGCTATTCTGGAATTGCGGTAGGTCGCCCAGAAGGGTTTTGGGTCCATCATTCCACAACTGTACTACAAACGAACACCCAAGGAGCTTTTCATTCCTTCGGGCTTAGGGATTTTCGAGTTAGGGCATTAAGTTCTAGGGTGTTGCGTTCTGGGGTTTTAGGCATTCGGGCTTTGGCAAGTTCAGGTGTCAGGGTGTAGCGTGTCTGGGTCGGGTGTTCCAGGGCCTCCAGGGTTTGGGATCCACCAAAGTAATTGCCGTGTGAGTGTAAAGCCAAGTTGCTGAGTAATTACCCTGACCCCAAGAAAGGTCAACCTTTCAGATTTCGCAGGTATTACCCTGAACGCGGAATCCTACTTTTTGGGGGACGATATTAGGGGTCCCTTATTTTCGTAAAAACCCCCCCCATTCAGGCTAATGAAGGTGATTTACTGTGTAGGGGGTCCAGGACATTGTAAACCCTAAACCCCAAACCCTAAACCCCTAAACCCTAAACCCCTAGACCCTAAACCCTAAACCCAAAGTAATTACCACCCAGAGCACGCAGGTCTCCTCGGGGCTAGCGGACTCCGGAAGCTCCTTCGGGTTAGGGTTTAGGGTTTAGGGTTTAGGGTTTAGGGTTCAGGGTTTAGGGTTTAGGGTTTAGGGTTTAGGGTTTGGGGTTTGGGATTTGGGGTTTGGGGTTTGGGGTTCGGGGGTTTAGGAGTGAATGCTGTTCGGGCTGTTAGGGTTTAGGGATATTTGGGTTTAGGGTTTAGGGTTTAGGGATGTTTGGGCTTTAGAGCTTGGGGTCTAGGGATATTTGGGCTTTTAGGGTTTAGGGATGTTTGGGCCTTTAGGGTTTTGGGCCTTTAGGGTTTTCGGGCTTCGCAGCTTGAGGGACAATACGGCTTGGGGTCTATCATGGGTCCCAAAGGGTCCATGTACCCATGTAGTATATACTTGGGCCTTAAAGGGGCTCCAATACAGTAGCTTTGGGACCCAAAATATGTACTACATGGGTACATGGACTCTTGTGGGCTTTAAGGAAGGCAGGCTGGGAGGTTGAGCCACTCCTGAAGTTGCGGCCGGGCGCAACTTTGTTCCCCCCCCCCCCGCCCTCCAGCCAGCCTCTTACCAGTCGATGCTTCCGTCCGTGAACTCATTGTAAGGCTTATATACCAAGACTTGGAGGATCGGGGTGATAAGTACCTGGTTGGGCTTATAAGTAATCCTTGCTTTTATCCCCCTTACTACACTTAGTAAGTCCCCTGATCCTTTACGTAGGGTTTGGTAGGGTTTACGGGGGGGGGCACACTACACACCCTAAACCCCTGCGCCCGCCACGCCTCCTCGCGCCCGCCGTAGCCTCGGGGGATCTGCCTGAGAAAGGGCTTAGGGTTTAGGGTTTAGGGTGTGCTGCTCTACTTGGAGGTTCATGGTACTTACTGACCGCATTGTATTTGCACTGATAACACACTTATAACCACATGAGGGGAATTCAGCGGTTTACAAGTGGGTTATACGTACAGTTATATTTGGGTTGCAAGGAGCCTGAACTCCAATACAGGCAACCTACCCCCCCCCCAGAATGGGTTCTCCGTGGGAAAGCCTGTTACTATTTGCTTAAGAACCCCAAAAGAATAAATAGTAATAACAATAACAATCCTTATAAATTACCCTTAATGAGGAAGAATATTCTTACTTTTTCGGGGTTCTTAAGCAATTAGTAGGGGAAGGGCACTCGGCCGAGTGCCCCACGGCTGGATGCACGGTGAGTAGGCAGGGAGGCTCGAACGCAACCTTGATGGGGCAGCGCGTGCTCCGGAGATTCGGAAGTCTAAGTCCCTAAACCCTAAACCCTAAACCCTAAACCCTAAAGCCTAGTAAGCTCAGCTCAAGCAAGCAGCATCATGAATGAATCGCCACTACCCTCAGGCTCGTGCACCCCGCGAGGATCGAACGGAACAAATACCGACACTTCTTAGGGGCTTAAACCCCACTTGCTGGATCGGGGCACTTGTTAAGTAGGGTTATAAGTACCTTAATTGGGCTTACAAGGAATTATAAGTCTAGTTCCCTTACTTATAATCACTCTCGCTATCCGTTAAGTATACCCTGCATAACCCTGGTGTGAGATGCAGGTAGGCTTTGTTCAGGGTCTGCCGGCGGCTCTTATATATACCCCAGCTTCCGGTTGCTAAGCCCTGAACCCTCCCAGAAGGTTCGTGAGCAGCTATAAGAATTGTAGGTTTGCAGGTCCCCTGAACACGAGGTGATGGTCGCTTCTAATACTGCAATCCTACTCATGTGCCGGGTTCTATGTACCCCTAAACCCTAAACCCCAAACCCTGATAAAGCCCAAGCCCTAAACCCCGAACTCTGCGACCCAGCAGCGGCGACGGTGGCACTGCTGGTGGTGGTGCATGATCTTCTTCACCTCGCTGGCGGTTTACGGGTTTAGGGCTTAGGGTTCAGGGTTTCAGTAATTAAGCGCTTTAAAAGGCACTGGATGCGAGTGTGGAGTGGCTTTAGGGAGTGGTCAGAGTTTTGCTGCCCTTTTTGTCTGCAGTCTCTGGGGATTTTTGATAAACCCCCTAAGCACTATAGGGTTTGGGATTGCCCCAAGTCCCAGACCCTAAGCCCTGACACCCACAGCCCCTGTAGACACACTCCAAGATCTGCAACATCTTCAGCCTACTCTGCCCCGATGTCTATAAGGTTCTTCTCGAAGGGGTTCCATATACCAGAAGCAATCAACAAGCGATCTTAAGATACCCCCTACCTCAGACCCCTGAGGTGGTACTCTTGGGTTTCGGGCACCCTTTTTAAGGTAAGATTCCCTAAAAGGGAATTCTGGGGCCATGTTCGGAGTATGTGAAGGGAACACCTTTGCGGGTACAACCTTAGGGGTGCGAGCCTTAACCCCTTGATCTACGTACAAAGGGAGCCTACCCAATAAATGTTCTGCCCTAGCCCCAAAACCCCAATCCCGAAACCCGAAACCCTTAAACCCTTAAACCTAAACCCTAAACCCTAAACCCTAAACCCTTAAACCCTAAGCCCCCTAAACGCGCCTTGCTCTCCCAGAGCCGGAGGTTTGCCCTGGTTTCGGGGCGCAATGTAGGAGCCTATCTTTGATTTAGAAGTAGGTGTACGGGTTTAGTTTAGGGTTTAGGGTTTAGGGTTTAGGGTTTATAGGGTATAGGGTTTAGGGTTTAGGGTTTAGGGTTTAGGGTTTAGGGTTTAGGGTTTAGGGTTTAGGGTTTAGGGTTTAGGGTTTAGGGTTTAGGGTTTAGGGTCCGCCGACCCTGGCGGCGTGTTGGATGGGTTTGAGGAGGTGAAAACCTCCCTCTTTCCCTCCTTACCCCCCAAAACGCGGGGGAGGGGGGGGGGGTCGGGGGTCGGTGCACAATTTTTGTGGAGGACCGCGCCACCCACACAGCGTAAACAGGCATTCAGCACAGGGGGGTAGGGGCGCCCTCAGCAAAATCAGTTTTTGGCCCCCACCCCCCCCCCCCCCCCCCCCCCCCCCCCCCCCCCCCCCCCCCCCCCCCCCCCCCCCCCCCCCCCCCCCCACACACCCCCCCCCCCCCCCCCCCCCCCCCCCCCCCCCCCCCCCCCCCCCCCCCCCCCCCCCCCCCCCCCCCCCCCCCCCCCCCCCCCCCCCCCCCCCCCCCCCCCCCCCCCACCGCCCCCCCCCACCCCCCCACACCCCCCCCACCCCCCCCCCCCCCCCCCCCCTCCAACCCCCGCCCCACCCACACCCGCCTCACCCCCCCCCCCCCCCCCCCCCCCTCCCCCACCCCCACCTGTCTTTTTGGCTTGAGCTTGTCCTGCTACCCCCTACCCGCCCCCAAGCGTTTCACAGAACTCTGCCGAGCAGGCTGGGATGATCTTCGAACCATGCGAGCGGGTTTAGACCTCTCAACTATGCTCCAGCGGGGTCGGCGGCTTGAGCCGGAGGCTCTTAAATTACTAGGGGAGAAGATTGCTGGTTGGGAGCCTTGGGGGACTTAGTACTAGTTCAGGTTCTTAAGTAGGACAACCCCACTTTGGGTGATGTTTCGTGCGTAGAATTCATGTTGCACAGTACCTACTACTGACTAAGTGCCCTAAACCCTAAACCCAAAACCCAAAACCCCAAACCCAAAACCCAACCCCTTAACCTCTAAGCACACGCCCAACACCAAGGGTCTAGACGCGAACGTCAGGGTTATAGGGTTTAGGGTTTAGGGTTTAGGATTTGGGGTTTAGGGTTTATGGTTTGGGGTTTAGGGTTGCAGCGGTGGGTGGACTGGGGTCTTGTTGAGCAAGTTAGGTTAAACTACCAGGACCCAGACAGCCCAACACCCCTTAAGTCAGGAATATACCTCAGACTACATAGGGATCCTTAGTAAGATTTACGGCATGTTCCTAAATTCATTGGTTGGGCTCTTTCGGGAGTGCTGTACTTGGCTTTGAGTTCCGGCGCCCTTTTGGAGATGGCGCCTCTCCACGCAAACCTCCTGCTATATCTTGTCGACCCTAACCCCCTGCAAACGCTTATTCGACCCTCTAAACCCTCCGTAACCCTGTTCCCAACAACCCCCAAAAAAACCTTTGAGTTTTTGGGGCTTTCCAGGGAATCTGACCCCCCGACAAAAAGATGAAAGTAATGGAGGTCCGGGCTACCTAGCCTAACCCCAAACCCTCAAGCCTCAACCCGAAGCACCTTGCCTCTGACCCGAAACCCTAAACCCTAAGCCCTAAACCCCTAAACCCCTAAAGCCCCAAACCCCAAACCCCACACCCCAAACCCCAAACCCTAAACCCTAAACCCTAAATCCTAAACCCTAAACCCTAAACCCTAAACCCTAAACCCTAACCCCTCAACCCCTCAACCTTGCCTCTCCAGCTCCCTCGGGATCTGCACCCTCAGGATCTGCGATGGGAGCCGGGGCTGACGATGACGACGCCTCGGTTCTTCGATGCTCGGAACCAGAAACCCCACCCCCCCCACAACTGGTAAAAGGGGGGGTTGGGGTTTAGGGTTTAGGGTTTGGGGTTTGGGGTTTGGGGTTTGGGGTTTGGGGTTTGGGGTTTGGGGTTTGGGGTTTGGGGTTTGGGGTTTGGGGTTGGGGGTTGGGGGTTGGGGTTGGGGGTTGGGGGTTTGGGGTTTCGGGAGTAGGTTTTAGGGTTTAGGGTTTTGGGTATAGGCGGTATAGGGTTTGGGTCATACGGAGTTTCACAGAGCATTGGAAAGAGCCGCTTAAAAGGGAAATCCTTGCTCAGAAGGGAATCTTCCTGATGGCTGTTTTGGGGCTAGCGTTTTAGGTTTAGGGTTTAGGGTACCATGTAATCAAGGACTATGAATACAAGGGACCTGCCCGTTTAGCACCAAGCTCGCAATCTTACACGCCTCTCCGATTCTGCCTTAAGCAGCTAAGTGCCGGCAGATTGCTAGCCCTGATTGAACACCAAAACCTTAAACACACAAAGCCCTGCCCACATCTAAGAACCTTTACGTCCTTACCCTCCGCTCCCCCAAAACAAACTAAAACAAAAAAAACAAAAAAAAACCTACCCTAAACCCAAAACCCGAAACTCGAAACCCTAAACCCTAACTTACGTGTACTTTGGTGCTGAGGGCTACAGTTCTTAGGGACATCGGGGTTTCTCTGGTAGAATGTATATGCCAGGTTCCGCAATAACCTGGGAGAAAAAAGGCCACCCTTTTAAGGGATCCTAAAGGGTCTAGGGTGGTTCCGCAAAAAACCTAGGAGAGAAAAAGACGCCCTTTTTGGACTATTTAGGCTTGTCAGGGATCCTCAAGGGTTTAGGGTTTAGGGTTTAGGGTTTAGGGTTTAGGGTTTAGGGTTCAGGGATCCTACAGCAGAGGGAAGGCTACCATCAACCCGGGGCAGTGGGTGCCGCGCTTGGCCGAAAGGCGACGTGGCGAAGGGCGAAGCCCGCGCCTTGCCATCCGATGGACGATCTTAATTTCATGATGGTTTAGGGTTTAGGGTTTAGGGTTTAGGGTTTAGGGTTTAGGGTTTAGGGTTTAGGGTTTAGGGTTTAGGGTTTAGGGTTTAGGGTTCAGGATTTGGAGTTTATAAGGTTTGGGGTTTAGGGTTTGGGGTTTAGGGTTTGTAAGGTTTAGGGTTTATAAGGTTTAGAGGATGCGTTTCCTACCATTTGTTTAAGAACCCCTCGCAAAACATAAAATGCACTTCCTTATGCGGGGAACATAGTATTCATACTCTTCAATGTTTTCGGGGGGGGGGGGGGTTCTTAAGCAAATAGTGGTTAATGAGATATTGTAGTGGTGGTAAAGGGATAACATTGGTGACTGGCCGCCCGGCAAGCCGTGTTTACAGTCTGCATGGGAAGCCTGTCTTCTCTGATAATATAAGTATCCCGAACCTCCAAGTACTCTACGAGTCTTTGGGTACGGAGGAAACGACACACATCCCCCAACCCCCCTCCCCCCCTCAAGCCCTTAGCACATGCCCGTTACCGGGGCGATTATGTGGGGTGCTTCGGTTTTGGGTTTAGGGGGAGCTGAAACAGAGCTAGACAGGAGAGGAGGTTTTGGGATCAGGGCGTCACAAAACTGGTTCACAGCACCTCATCCTCAACCCTGAACTCATGAAAACTCCTACCGAACAGAAGACCCTTGAGGCCTCGAAAGCACTGTGCCCCTCCCCATGACTCTCTATTGTGTCTACCTGAAACAAGGGTTTAGGGACAGGGTTTAAGGCTTAGGGTTAAGCTGAGCCAACCTTGAAGCCCGTCTCTTCCTTACCCACACTAGCCATACCCCCGAGACCAAGGAGGAACCTAGGAATAGAAAGGGTGCCCTTTCTGGCTTCAAGGGGATTGGAAGGGAACCTAAACCCTGAAACAAGGAAGTCAGGGTCTGCTGCGGGTCCGAGCCCCCCCCCCCCACCCCCCTCACAGAACAATTCAAAAGCACAAGCTTCAGCGCTATTTCCGCTTGGTTTTCTCAAGCAACAGAAGCGTTCCCTACGGGACTATGGCCTAAACCCTAAACTCTCAACCCTATATACCCTATACCCTAAACCCTAAACCCTAAGCCCCGGGCCGCCACCCTGGCTGGGGGCTGCTTCTTCTCCTTGGACTTCTCCTGGCGCCGCGCGCTCTCCCTGGCCAAAGGAGAAGAAGGGTTTAGGGTTTAGGTATAGGGTTTAGGGTTTAGGGTTTTAGGGTCTAGGGTTTAGGGCTTGGGGTTTGTAGGGTTTGGGGTTTAGGGCTTGGGTTTTTTTGGGTTTGGGGCTTAGGGCATGGGGTTTAGGGTCTGGGGTTTAGGCCTTGGGGTTTAGGGTTGGGGGTACGAGGTTTGGGGCTCTGGAATTTTCACAAGAAGGTGACATCGGGTTCTTACATCCCGGTAGCTCATGGGGGTCCATAGCATAAGGGACTCCTACTAGTTGGGGGTTTATATTAGGGGTCCCTTCTTTTCGTAAACCCGCAGATGGGGTTTCTGGAAATTGGGGGTGCCCTTTCTGGGAGGTTGGTATACACTTATCGGGGCTTATAGTATTTTGGGGATGCTTTAGGGGAGTACCTCAATTTCGGAAAACCCGGTTATGCGTAGACTCGGGAATTGAGGGCTCTAAGGTGAGGGGTTGGGGGGTTTCGGATTTGAGGGCGCACTCCATCCACAACCCTAAACCCTAAACCCTAAACCCTAAACCCTAAACCCTAAACCCTAAACCCTAAACCCTAAACCCTAAACCCTAAACCCTAAACCCTAAACCCTATCTGTACCGCTAGAGTAATACGAAGGATTGGTGCCTCGCGCGCCTCCCTTCTTGTTTTACATGGGGGTTTGTAAGTCCAGCCATGGCCTCCTACCACCCAAAACCCTGACCCCTAAACTCTAAACCCTAACATTAACCCTAAGCCCTAAACCCTAAACCCTGAATAAACCCTAAACCCTAAACCCTAAACCCTAAACCCTAAACCCTAAAACCCTAAAACCCTACACCCTAAACCCTAAATAAACCCACATTCTGGGCCCTAGGAGTCTTTCCAACCCGATCGGCCTGAAGCCTTTGGGCGCATGCGGGTTGACGCCTGGCTTGGATCAAGTCTGAGGGTAGTTTCATGGGCCCTTAATATGGGTGTAGGGTCTAGGGTTTAGGGTTTTTGTCATGGGCCCTTAACATGAGCCCTTACCTCCTTTATAGGGTTCTGATGTATGGGACCTTGATTTGTTTCGGCTGAAAAGGGGACAAGAAAAGGGTCCCCTTTGCAGGGCCCTTATAAATTGGGACCATGAAACTGTCCGGCGCGGTCCAATCCGCCTATGCTCGTATGCTACTAAGTGGTTACTTCGGGCTCAAAAAGCGGGTTAGAAGTACAGTTCTCATTGAGTTATAGGTACCCTGAACCTCCAAGTAGGGCCCAAGTATACCTATGTAACAGCCTATTGTAGTAGCAACTTCAAGGCGTTCCTGTCCTAGGAGTTTTCCAGGGCCAGGTATACCTTTAAAGAGGTTCCTTTTGCAGTAGCTTTCTAGGGCCCAAGCATACGAATGTAGTAAATAAAACTTGGGTCTTAAAGAGGTTCCTTTGGTAGTAGCTTTGTAATTAGGCCCCAAGTAACTGGATGGAAAGTTAGGGAAGAGCACGAGCGGGTGTGTTGCGTCTGGGGGCCAGGTTAAAGGACAGTCCCGCAACTCCTGAAGGGTTTAGGGTTTAGGGTTTAGGGTTTAGGGTTTAGGGTTTAGGGTTTAGGGTTTGGGGTTTAGGGTTTAGGGTTTAGGGTTTGGGGTTTAGGGTTTAGGGTTTAGGGTTTAGGGTTTAGGGTTTAGGGTTTCTCCAGAAATCCGGAGGTTTCTCCATGGTGCACTTCAGGCTTCAGGGTCCTCAGGGTCTAGGACTTAGGGCTTACCTTAAACCCTAAACCCTAAACCCTTTGCTCTAGTTTCTTCGGTGTTGAGTTTGCATCTACCCTAAGGGTCCATGTACCCCTGCAGAAAAAATTGGGCCGCAGAAGGGAGCTTAAGGGCCCCAGGATATGCTGCATAGGTACATGGACCCTTAGGCTTATAGCATACCTCTCGAGTCACTTGTAAGTGCACTTGACAAACTTGTACTTGAATGACCCTAAACCCTAAGCCCTTAAGCCCTTAAGCCCTAAAGCCCTAAAGCCCTTAAGCCCTTAAGCCCTTAAGCCCTTAAGCCCTTAAGCCCTTAAGCCCTAAAGCCCTAAAGCCCTAAAGCCCTTAAGCCCTAAAGCCCTTAAGCCCTTAAGCCCTTGAGCCCTTAAACCCTTAAGCCCTAAAGCCCTAAAGGCCTAAAGCCCTTAAGCCCTTAAGCCCTTAAGCCCTTAAGCCCTAAAGCCCTTAAGCCCTTAAGCCCTTAAGCCCTAAAGCCCTAAAGCCCTTAAGCCCTTAAGCCCTTAAGCCCTTAAGCCCTTAAGCCCTTAAGCCCTTAAGCCCTAAGCCCTAAACCCTACACCCTAAACTCTAAACCCTAAACCCTCAACCCTAAACCCTCCGCTCCCAGGCGGAGCCCACCTCCTCCAGTCACCGATCTGGGTGCGAACGGGTTGATTGGAGCGGAAACAGGCGCTCCAAACCCCTGGCAGCTTAGGGTTTAGGGTTTAGGGTTTATAGGTTTAGTGTTTAGGGTTTAGGGTTTAGTTTATAGGGCTGCCTGGCTTTTGGGTTGGTTTGGGGTTTGGGGTTTAGGACTTAGGGGCTTTGAGGGGATTCTAGGGTTTGGGAGTTTGGAACCTGAAGAGCGGCTGGACGGGAGTCGTACAGCCGTCCGGGTGTAATTTGGGGTTTGGGGTTTGGGAATCCCTAAACCCTAAACCCTAAACCCTAAAAACCCTGACTACAGGTGGCTGGAATGCACTTCGCTTAGGCCCCTGCACCCGGCTTTTTGGGGGCTCTACGGTTGCAGCGGTTTAGGGTTTAGGGTTTAGGGTTTCGGGTTTGGGAGCGAAATTTCGGCTTCAGGGTGTGACGGAAAGATGGGACTGCAAGATCCGGCTGCGCCCACAACACCCAACCCAAGCCCCTTAGGGTTTTGCGGGTTTAGGGTTTAGGGTTTAGGGTTTAGGGTTTAGGGTTCAAGGTTTAGGGTTTAGGGTTTTCGAAAGCCGTCAACCCGAATGCTACACAGAAACGCCGCATGCGGAGTCTTCAACATACCCCTTGGGCATACCCTTAAACGAAATGACAAGGGGTGGGACCCTTACAAGGGACCTTGGGGGTTATTTAGGGGTTATTTGGGGGTTACTTAGGTGTATAGGGGCTTTTCGAGGTCTATATAGGGGTTAGGGGAATAAGATTAAGGGTCCCTTCTAGGGGTCCCTCCTTATACCCCGCATTCTCAGAAGCAAGCACTGCCTGTGAATTCAGCGCAGCCGGTGGCGGTGCCTCGATATGCAGGGCCACTTCCCGAGTTTTTTTGTTGATTGGTTTAGGGTTTCAACCCTAAGCCCTAAACCCTACACCCTAAACCCTAACCCTAAATAAACCCGAAGCCCCACCTTGACTCAGAAACCTAGAGTTCGATCCCCCCTGCCATGGCCCATAAATTGGGCCACTGGGTCCCCTTGCCCCCTCTTGTAAGGGTCCAGGATGCATACTTGGGCCTTTGAGAGGGGCTGCTGTATAGTAGCTTTAGGGCCCAAGTATCTACTCTATAGGTAGAACCGTCGGGTTATAACCAAGAAGGCCGAAATCCCTGAACCCCAAAAACCTTGTTGTTTTCGAATCGAGGCGCCTAGCCTCGGTCCAAAACCAGAGTGATAGCCTTGAATCAAGCAGAGCCTGATTCTCCCTCACCCCCAGCCCTTCAGCTCAAAAGAGAACAAGCCCCAACCCAAAAGCTCTAATTCCTAAACCCTAAACCCTAGTTCCTAAACCCGAATTCCAAGTTCCTAAATCCGAACTCCTAAGCCCTCAGCCCTAAACCCTAAACCCTCAGGACGGCAAGAAGCCTCGGTGCTGGTCTTTTCCTCCTCCTCTTCAGGCTTCGGCTCAGCACCTGGAACCCGGCTTTGGCTCTGATCAAGACGAGTGTAGTTTAGGGTTCAGGGTTTAGGGTTCTGGGTTTCGGGTTTAGGGCCTTGAGGGTTTCGGGCTTACGAAATGAAAGATGTCACCAAAGCTTGGTGTTTCAAGTCAACTTTCACGCGGACCGGAACCCTTAAATAAGGAATATCCCTTAAACCATACTATATGACTAAATCCTTACTTGGGCTGTTTGGGAAGAGCCTTTCTTTCGGCTACCTTTTTCGTCGGCGGTTTCCGTAAAACCCCTGGGGCCCTGGGTGTTTAGGTAACCTACAAAAAGAACTATGTTTTGGGTTCTTTTTCAGCCAGCCCAGTTCGCCAAACCGACTCTCTCTCTCTCTCTCTCTCTCTCTCTCTCTCTCTCTCTCTCTCTCTCTCTCTCTCTCTCTCTCTCTCTCTCTCTCTCTCTCTCTCTCTCTCTCTCTCTCTCCAGCCGCAAAGCCCCCCGAAAGAGGGCTGCCCCGAAGGGCGCGAGAGTCCGAGGGTCAGTCTTGCTTTTCGGCTTGCCCGACGGTCTTCGTGAGGGGCCTGCTTGAAATGGCGTTAATGTCGCTGGGTGGGTTTTGGACAGCGTCAGGCGAAAAAAGCAAGAACAAAAGCAATAGCACCTAGGCACTACCAGCACTGATTGTAAGGACATGTGAAGAATGTGAAGCAAGCATCGCCAGGTGGGCGCAAGAAATCTGGCAACGAGCAAATGATCGTAGTCAATCATGGAGATTGCGCCCGCAGCCCGAATGGGCAGTGGAGCATGAAGGTCTGAGATATTTGAGCTTGATTCCCAGAATCCACAGTCTTCGCCAGAATCCAACGAAGTTCTGCGCCAAGTGAAATCTTCATGCCACACAGCGTCCTCCGAAAAATCAGACAACGAGGATGATCCTTGGTAACATGCATTCCGGCTCTGGAACTTCATCTGCGTGCTCTTGCGCTTCGACCCGCCTGCATCGACCTATGTCCGCCCTGCGCGTGCAAAGACTCGCCTCGGAGAATGATGTGATCGATCAAGTCGTTGCCCTAGGTCAGAAGACACACACACACACAGCTGCCCCGATCACTACCAGCACTGAATAAGGACAGGTGAAGAATGGGAAGCAAGCAGCGCCAGTTGGGCGCAATTCTGCCCGCAGCCCGAATGGGCAGTGGAGCATGAAGGTCTGAGCTTTTCCTGATTGCCAGAACCCAGATTCTTCGCCAGGTCCAACGAAGTTCTGCGCCAAGTGAAATGTTCATGCCGCAAGCGTCGTCCGAACAATCAGACAGCGAGGATGATTCTTCGTAACATTCCGGTTCTGACACTCCTCCTTCATGGTCCTACGTTTCAGCCGCCTGCTCGAACTGAAAAATCGCCCAGGCTTCAGCGACGTCACCCGCGCATGCTTCTACAGTCTTTCCGCCGACGTACTTCATCTCTTCATGGCTTGTGCTGCAATGCGTGCCGACATCCGTGGAGACGATCTCAAAACATCCTTCAACACGACTGGGGTCCAAGAAGAATCCTTGGAGCTCGAGGACCGCCGTGCTGCCAAACGTGAAGATCTTGCCACCGATGCGTTAGACAGCCGCTGTTCCTCTGAAGGCCTGCGTCTTGTCGACGTTTCACAGGCATGAAGTGATTGTCGAAGGCCAGAATGAAATCGCCGATCATCCCGCCTTGCTCTGCAATCACGTCGGCGAATTTGCAAGGTCTCATGCATCTTCCTGTAGCTCAACTTAGTCGCATGTGTGTGTGTGTGTGTGTCTTCTTCGTGTGTCTATATCGCGTCGCCTTTCTTGGTCGTGAAATCGGTGTGGAGGACGGAGGACGTTCGCCCCACGGATTTTCCTTCTCTCTCTCTCTCTCTCTCTCTCTCTCTCTCCCTCTCTCCCTCTCTCCCCTCTCTCCTCTCTCTCTTCAGAGGCCCTCAGGAGACTTCCGCCTTTCTGTGTCGACAGTAGGGGTCTATTGCGCGGGCCAATTTAATTAAGTCGACGATCTTGAAAATCTTTCAGGCTACTGTGTGACCCTCGAAAGCACCACCCAAAACCACCTGCCAACGAGAGCCACCCCCCTTTGCTGCCGAAGCAAAACATACGTTCGTAGCTAGGAGCAACGGTCAAACAGCACTGTTGTAATTGTTTGTGTATGGTGAATGTCTTGAGACGCTGTTCACTGAGTAGTAGAACTTGGCGTGCGCTGTCTGAAAGAAGCCGCTCAGTTTGGCAGCCGTGTTTCCTTCTGGTTTCTTCCTCTTCCCACTCGTTCATCACGAGGATTGCCTCGCAGGGAGTGTGGTTAGGCTTTCGCAGCTGCCTCCGCTCGAAAAACTGCCAGTAGTGTGGTCGCTTTCTGCAGCTGGACGGTCACGGGAAGGCAGCAGCCCAGGCAACGCAGCTGAGTTTCTTTAGGGCTTGAGGTTATGCCCTCGAGCAATTAAGTCGGCCCTAAAACATATAGGGAAGCGCATTCGACACCTTGCGACTCGTTTTTTGTTTAGGGCTTCCAGACTAAGGTTTGTCGAAGTACGACAGGGAGCCTCATGTTCTCTAGAATTCAGCTCATGGGGTGTAGCCAAGAAGGGCCATGGTGTGGAGTTTAAACTTCAAATGCTCAAGCAAAACTACACTGCAAAACCCTAAACCCTAAACCCTAAGCCCTAAGCCCTAAGCCCTAAGCCCTAAGCCCTAAGCCCTAATTAAACCCTAAACCCTACAGCAAGGAACAGGCATCTTCACCCCCATGCACCACCTACCCCTTCCACTACTCGGGCCCTGATATTATTCGAGATGAATCCTACCAGGACGGGCTACTATACCCTATAACCCCGTAAAAAAGGCCCTTTATAGGGTTGATTATGGGATTATAACCCATCCTGCTATGTCATGTGTGTCATCTGTTCAGACGTAGGGTCTAGGGTTTAGAGTTCAGGGTGCATTCAAACCCCCCCAAAACCCCCAAAAACCCCAAAAGACCGCAAAACCCCCCAAAGACCCCAAAACCCGCACAACCCCAACATGCCACAAAACCCAAAACCCCAAAAAACCCAAAACCCCCGAAACCCAAAACCCCAAAATGCCACAAGACCCCAAAACCCGAAACCCCAAAACGCCACAAAACTCCAAAACCCCAAACCCCAAAACCCTAACACCCCAAAAACCTCCAAACGCCCAAAGCCCCCCAAAACCCCCCAACACCCCAAAAGAAGCCCCCCAAACCCCCCCCATGGCTGCGAGATGCTGCGGGGAGGGCCTTCCTCGGCCGGTGTCGCGGCCGGCGGAGGCTCGCCAAATGGGCCCTTGAAGCGACGATGGGGCTTAACCCTAAACCCTAAACCCTAAACTTAAAGGGGTGAGGGTTTAGGGATTAGGGTTTAGGGTTTTGGGCTTACTTAAAGGATCAGGGGACTTAGTAAGTGGGGTGATAAGTAAGGTAACTATACTCATTACTGATAAGCCCAATGAAGCCACTTATAACCCGACCTACGATCCTCCAAGTAGGGGGTTTTACCTGGGGCGCTCTTTACCTATGGTTTATGGGGTATGCCTGCTAATTATGGGTAACTACTGCTAAACTGTAGGCAAGTAGAGTCCCAGGTAAGACTTCAGTTTAAGTTGGATAAGGTTTAGGGTTCTGGGTATATGGGGTTTAAGACTTGAAGTTTCAGAACTCAAGGGTCTAGGGTTCTGGGGCGATAGCGGCTATAGGGTTTGAGGTTTAGGCTTATGGAGTTATGGGATTTATGGCTTTGTAGCTCTAAAGGTTTGGGGTTCTAGTTCTAGCGCTTGGGCTTGTCAGTTCAGGCTTTCAATTCAGGCATTTGGGATGTTTTGGGTTTGAGTGTTGAAACGTTCAAGGTCAAGGGGCTCAGGGATTGATTAGGGGTGCTAGCCCTAAACCCTAAATCTAAACCCTAAACCGAGGTTCTGGGGATGTAGGGTTTAGGAGCTGCGGCAAGGGTTTACAGTTTGGCTGGGTTAAAGGTCCACATAGTAGCTGACTTCATGAGGCCCCCCCCCCCCCCTCCCAACAAGTGCACACTTTCAATTCTATAACCCTAAACACTAAACCTAAACCCTAAACCCCAAACCCTAAACCCTAAGCCCTATAGGGGATTCTAGATCCCAGAAAGTGTACAGTGTACAGTGTACAGCATTCAGCTACGAAGTTCAAGGTTGGATTTGGAATTGAGTGATTCGCTCGTTCTATCTTCATGGGTTTCCCTACTACCCCCCCCCCCCCCCCCCTTGCTTCCCCCCTTGAGTAATCTTGATTTGGTTTTGTTTGTCCCTAAACAGCCTTAAGCATGGGGGGAACCTAGGGGGGGGGGGGTAGTATAGAGGGGGGTAGTACCCTTAAACTGAAACCCTAAACTCTAAACAACTCTAAACCCTAAACCCTAAACCCCAAACCCCAAACCCAAAACTCCAAACTCCAAACCCTAAACCTGAACAAACCTTGGTGGGGGGGGAGGGGGTGTAAGGAAACGCATGAAATGTGCCTTTTTTGACCCAAAACACGCAACCTTTGCGAAGGCGCCTAGCCCTGAACCCTCAACGTGAATCTCGCAGCCCTAAACCCCTAAAACCTACACCCTGTTAGGGTTCAGGGTTTAGGGCTAGGGTTTAGGGTTTAGAGTTTAGGGTTTAGGGTATTTAAAGTCCCAAACGGCTGCAGAAATCGGCCTGCACGGCTGGCAAGGGCATGGGCATTGGCCGCATCACGGAGGCAGGTGCCGTGTTCTTGCGGCCGAAGCGATTGCCATACCTGGGAGCCCCAGAGGGCCTTGCGGTTTAGGGGTAAGGGTAGAGGATTTAGGGTTGAGGGTAGAGGATTTAGGGTTTAGGGTTTAGGGTTTAGGGTTGACTACTTGGAGGAAGGTTCATGGTACTGGTTCACCCAGTTATAAGTGCTCTTTTAACCCAATTATAGCCATATCAGGCCGTGTCTAGGCCTAGACTTGGGCTACAGGTTTAGGGCTCTCAAGGGACTAAGGAGAGGGGCTACTTAGGTATATAGGGACTATATAAGGTACATGTGGGGGTCATATAGGGGGATAACATTAAGGGTCCCTTCTACGGGGTCCCTCCTGATACCCCTCAGGACTCAAGGTAAGAAACTTGAAGCCTGAAATAATCGGCATACTAACATCTAAGCCCAAGCTGCACACTGTTCTTGGCGAGAATTACACTAAACCCAAAACCCAAGACCCTTAACCCTAAACCCTAAACCCCAAACCCTAAACCCTAAACCCTAAACCCTAAACCCCAAACCCAACCCCCGGAACTTGGGCCGAAAGCCTACACCCACCATCTCTACGTGGGGGTTTCCGAAATTCGGGGTACCTTATGAGGAAGGGGTCTATACTATTTGGGGGGGTCTATATTTGGGGTCCCTTATTTTCGAAAATCCCGACAACCATAGCCCAAAAAACACTAGCACAATCAAGGCTGAGCACGAGTTCAGACCCAACCGACCTTTATCCTTAGGGGGTCCTTACACTCCAGGCATAAAAAGTTTAGGGTTTAGGGTTTGCGTCCCCTGGTTCTTGAGTGTAGCAGAAGTTATGACACGGGTTGAGGGCTTAGGGCCTGGCCCCCCTGAGCCCTGAGCTTAGCAGAAGTTAGGACACGGGTTTAGGGTTTAGGGTTTAGGGTTTAGGGTTTAGGGCACGGGCCACAAATCGTTGTCAGCTTAGCCCCCGTCTGCGCGACGCCCCGAACACGAACTTCTAGACTCGAAGTCCTTGACCGTAAACCCCAAACCCCAAACCCTAAACCCGAAACCTAAACCCTAAACCCTAAACCCCAAACCCTGAAACACTGAAACACGAATGAAGCTCCAAACTCGGCGCCCCACGGGTTTGGGGGCGCAATCATCGAGTCCAACACAGACGTCTCGGCCAATGGGCAGTATAGGGTTGAGGGAATTAGGGTTTCTTCACTTCGTGAGGTGCCAGGTCCTTTGTTAAGCAAACAAAGACACTTTTTGCTCGCACATTTTCGAGGAATGGGGGGGGTTCAGTTTTTGTTCTTCTGAATTGGTATTTGTGGGTTTAGGGCTTATGTGGCTAAGGGCTTCAGCGTGGAGGGGCCAAGGGACCCGAGCTTCGGGGACCCGGCACGCAGGCTGCATGGGCCTCAGGGGTAAGGTTGTGCCTGTCATCGCGAGGGCGCGTCGCCTGTACCCACACCTGTCTAGTGTCCGGCAGATACGATGGCAATGCCATTTCGGGTGTGAGTGGGGTCAACACACGCAGAAGGCGACGTCCCACCGGACAAGCAGGCACGCCAATGTCCTGTGAAAGGGTCAAGGCAGGTGTGACGGTCCAGCGTCATTTCTGCCATGACCGGAAGGGCGCGATGCTGACACGCATCAAGCGGCGTGAGCAGCAGCCGGCATGAACCAACTAGAAAACCAGAGGAGCTTCACGGTGAGCCCCTGCCTAAGAGGCTTAGGGTTAGGGCTGATAAGGCTTATATAACTTAAACCTTACATCCTAAGCCCTCAACCGCAACAACCCCCCCTCCCCCCTAATACCCTCAAATCTATACATGCCCTTAACCCTAGACCGCAAACCTTAAAAACTCTAAACCCTAAACCCCAAAACCCTCAAACCCTCAAACCCTAACCCCTAAACCCCTAAACCCCAACCCCAAACCCCAAAACCCTCCAACCCTAACCCCTAAACCCCAAAACCCTCCAACCCTGAACCCCAAAACCATCAAACCCTAAACCCTGCACCCCAAACCCAAAACGTGGTAAACCCTAAACGTAAACCGCACACCCTACACCCCAAAAACCTCAAACTCTAAACCCTACCCCCCAAACCCTAACAACCCAAACCCTAAAACTCATAAACCCAGAACCCTCAGGCCCTAAACCCTAATCCCTGAACCCCAAACCTTATAAACCCTAAACCCTAAACCACGATCCCTCAAACCCTACACCCTGAACCCCAAAACCTAAAACCCTAAACTCTAAACCCCTAAAACTCTAAACCCTAAACCCCCAAACCTTCAGACCCCACCTCTTTCTTCTCCTCTTCCTTCTTCTCTGGCTTCGGGGTCTCGGCGCCACAGGCAATGTTTCAGGACTATTGGGTTTAGGGCTTACGGCTTAGGGCTTGGGGTTTAGGGTTTAGGGAATCGGGCACGGGCCTGGGGTTTAGGGTCTAGGGCTTTAGAGTTCGGGCTTTGGGGCTTCAAGGTTTGGGGTTTTTGGGGATGTGGGGTTCGGATTCAGGTGGCTTCAGGGTTTAGGTGGTTTAGGGTTTAGGGTTAAGGGTTTAGGGTTTAGGGTTAGGATTTAGGGTTTGGGCTTCAGGGTGCAGAGCTCAGACCTAGCGCAGGCGCCTGGCCCAAGGGAAAGCCCCCACCAGACTGTTCCAAGCCACGGTTTCGCCTTTAAGGTCTATATGGCCTTAGAAGTTCTAGGGCTTAAGCTGTGATAGGATTTAGGTGTTTCAGGGCTTGCTGAGGGGTTTAAGTGTTTAGGTGTTGATGGGTTGAAGGTTTTGGCCTGTAGGGCTCATCTTAGGCGGAGCCTGTACATCGACCTTTTCGAACCCATAGATCTCAAGGGCCCATACTTCAGAACCCTCCAGGCTGAACCGTAACCCGACTGGTTAAGAAAAAAATGACACTGTGCTGCATACCCTCAACCCAAACCCTAAACTGAACCCTAAATGAGAGAAACCTACAGGGTAAGGGCTACACGGAAAAGTGCTCGGGAGAACCCCAACGTGCCCCTGTGGCCGCAGCAGAGCCCATGGACGGGGGTGGAGCCAGCGCTGTCTCTTCCTTTCAGGAAACGCTCGGCCTCTACGAGTTCACAATGGATTACATCTTGGTCACTTCCCTAAATTCTGGGGTTTCTGTTGGGGGGGGTCACGATCACAAGGCGGCCTTAGGGTGCCCCAAAAAGTGGTTAAGTTTTGCGAACTGACCCCTAAACCCTAAACCCTAAACCATAAACCCTAAACCCTAAACCCTAAACCCGAAACCCTAAACCCTAAACCCTAAACCCTAAACCCTAAACCCTCACGATCATAAGGCGGCCTTAGGGTGCCCCAACGAGTGGACCTTAAATTTCCAGAACTGAGCATTTGGGGATCATGAACCTGAGTCGATAAAACTTTGGATCCCTTAGACCTGACCCTCAGATCCTCTTCTGCACTTTGCCCAACGCAGCCGCGGGTACTATGTCTGAACCCTCGAAACACGTAGGAGGACCCTAAACCCTGTACTTAAAGGATCAGGGGACTTAGAAAGTGGAGTTATAAGCAAGGTACTATACTTCGAATTAGTTATAACCCAAATAAGCCACTTGTAACCCTACTTGCTAAGTGCCTCGATCCCCCAAGTAAGCTCAGTTTTCTCAACTCTGACAAGCCCACGAAGTCACACAGAACTGCGGCTTAAGGTCTTCGGGTTGAGGACGAAGACCTTTCGGGATTCTGAGGCTCTGGAAGCTTGGGGAAGCTACGGGTTTAGGGCGCTTCGAACTCTTAGGGTTTTGTAGGAAAAGAGCTTGGAGTGCTTTTAGCTCCATGTAGCTAGGGCATTTTCGGGCTCGAAAAAAGCCGGGCAGAGCCAAAATCTGCAACCTACACCGCACCAACCGCAAACCCTAACCCTAAGGGTCCATGTACCTCAGTATTATATACTTGGGCCTCAGAGTCCTTATATAGGAAGTGCTTAAGGCCTAAGGATATCCTATTTCGGTACATCGACCCTGAGGGTAAGCCTGGTATTGAAGGCCCCTTATTTTCGCAAACTCCCAGATGTCAGATGTAGACGAGTTTCTCCAGTATCCTAGGAGAGCCAAGACGCTTACCCTTCTTGGGCCAATGGGGATTTTAAGGGATTAGTGAAGAAACCTGAAAGCATGAAAGACTCACCATGATTGTAATTAGCTTTAGGTGCGTACTTTGGATATTTGAGGGGTTCCTCAAGCGAATCCCCAGGCCCTCGGCCCAAACCGTGAACCCTGAATCCTAAACCCTGAACCCCCAACGCTAAACCCTAAACCCTGACCCCTAAACTAAACCCTAAACCCCAAAACCATTCGAACCCCCAACGCTGCACCCTAAACCCTGAACCCCAAAACCCTGAACCCTAAACCCTGAACCCTAGAACCCTGAACCCTGAAACCCTCCAGTACACCCTCCGGTGTCCTCCTCCAGATGCTCCTTTCCGCGCTCGCGCCAGCGGCCCTTTTCCTCATCCACTGAGGCTTGGCTTAAGGGCTACAGTTTGTGGGTTTAGGGTTTATTGGTTTTGGTGTGTAAGGCGTAGGGTTTAGGGTTTAGGGTTTAGGTTCAAAGATGTTTAGGAGTTAGAGCCTAGGGTTTTGGGGTTTTGGGGCTTAGAGTCTAGAGTGAGTGAAAGGGTGTTGGGTCTCGGGGTTTAGGGGCTTGGGGGTCTGTAGGGGAAGTTGAAACTTAGGCGTGCAGGCTTAGGGTTTAGGGCTTAGTTGTTGCTGGTTTAGGTTTAGGGTTTAGGGTTTAGGGTTTAGGGTTTAGGGTTTAGGGTTTAGGGTTTAGGGTTTAGGGTTTAGGGTTTAGGGTTTAGGGTTTAGGGTTTAGGGTTTGGGTTTGAGGGCTTTCGCAGCTATAGGGCAAGATCCCCCCCCCCCCCCTTGCGAGGTGCGGCTGAGGCAGGTTCAGAGCTTCGGGTTTAGGGTTTAAGGCTTTGGGGTTTAGGGTTCAGGGATGTGTGTTGCGACTCGACCCTAAACCCTGAAAACTAAACCCTAAACCCCTAAACCCCTAAACCCCGAAACCCCTACACCCCTAAACCCCTAAACCCCTAAACCCTAAGCCCCGAAGCCCCTAAACCCTAAAGGCCCTAAACCCTAAACCCTAAACCCCAAACCCCAAACCCTAAACCCTAAACCCTAAACCCTACACGCAGGACACGTAGGCAGCGAGGCTCTGCTGCACAGAATGAAAACCAGCCCCACAGTCACCCTAAAACAAAAAAAGGGTACTCTTTTTGGTTTAAGGGGTTTAGGGTTTAGGGTTTAACCCTGCGGCCCCCCCCCCCCCCTCTCCCTGTATTGTGGGTGTGGTTTGGGGGTTAGGGTTTAGGGTTTAAGGTTTATATAAGTTTAGGGTTCAAGGCTTAGCCCCCCCCGCCTGTGCAGTGAATGGGGGGTTGGCGTTTGGGATTGTAGGTTTGCGGTTTCAGCTGCATCTTTACACAGAACTCGTGCAGGGATGGCAACATGATGGGAGCTTGGGGTTTAAGGCAGGCTTGTGGACTCCGAGCTAGGGGGAATTTGTCTCAATGAGCAACATCAACATGGCCCCAGCTTCTGGTTGAGGCTGCAAGCAATCAGGCCCGCTCATCCCCCACTTCTCCCCTGCCGCACCTGCTGCCCTCCAACATAACGAAACAAAAAACTCTTCAGGGTTTAGGGTTTAGGGGTGACGTGCTCTGCCTTGTCAAAGTACATCGCGCTCGGTTGGTCAGGAAGCTTCACTTTGTGAACCTCCACGAACAATGGCGCAGGATTGAGCATGTGATGACAAACGCTACAGTAAACCTGAAGCTCCGCATCTAAACCCTAAAGCCTAAACGAAGCCCAAAGCCCTAAATCTTCTCCAAGAAAACAGTGCACTATAAAGTCCCCCCCACTGCCCTCACACGATACAGAGTCCCCCCGAAACAGCTTCACAATGCAACTTGATTGCCGAGAACGGTTGAATCATAAACTAACTGACCGGAAACAACAAGAACCCAAACCTAAACCCTAAACCCTAAACCCTGAATCCCTGAACCGTAAACCCCCCAAGCTCCAAAGCTTCCATCCGACTTCGGGCTTCAGGCGCCAGCTTGCAGGGTCTCCCTAAACCCTAAACCCTAAACCCTAAACCCTAAACCCTAAACCCTAAACCCTAAACCCTAAACCCTAAACCCTAAACCCTAAACCCTAAACCTAACCCTAAACCCTAAACCCTAAACCCTAAACCCTAAACCCTAAACCCTAAACCCTAAACCCTAAACCCTAAACCCTAAACCCTAAACCCTAAACCCTAAACCAAGCCCTAAACCCTAACCCCTAAAGACCAGGGGGCTACTTGCATCCCTGCACCCCGAAAGCCTGATCCCTAAACCCTCGACTGCTTTTCAGCGCGTACAGAGCTCAAAGCTTTGTTCGTTTAGGGTTTAGGGTTTAGGGTTTAGGGTTTAGGATTTGGGGTTTGGGGTTTCGGGTTTAGGGTTTCGGGTTTAGGGTTTAGGGCAACTGCTGCCTTGAGGATGGGAAAAGCCCCCGAACCCTTCTAGTCACCTGGGAAAAAGCGAGGGTGCCCTTGGTTTACAGGGGCTCATAAGGGAACCTGAACCCTAAAAGAGCAATCAGGGCCTGTTGCAGTTCCCTCCTACTCCTAAGGCCCTAGCCACGAGACACCCTAAACCCCAGGGGCGACCGCAGTGTCAACCCTAAACCCTATAGTAAACTCCAGAAAGTTGGAACATCATTAATTATCCTAGTACCCTTGAAGGTAAAGTATAGGGAAAGCCAGCACTAATCGTGCAAAACCCCATGTTCCAACTTTCTGGAGTTCACTATAATGCCCCTACACCCTAAACCCTAAGCCCCTACGTCCTAAACCCGAAGCCCCTGCACCCTAAACCCCAAGCCCCTAAACCCTAAACCCTATACCCGAAACCTTACGCCCCACCGAGATCCCGGCCGTTGGTTCATTCGGGTCCTTCTTCTTGAACAGCCCTGGGGTTCAGCAGTTTCGTGGTTCAGGGATTTAGGGGTCTAGGCCCTTAGGGCCTAGGAACTTAGGGGGGTTAGGGTGCAGGGAATTAGGGGGTTAGGCTGTAGAGATTTGATTACCCTAACCCCTAAGCCCTAAACTGCCCTAAACCCTGAAAGATTTAGGGTGCAGCACTCGATGTACTTGTGGGTCATCAACCCCCCTGCCAGCTGCTATACATACACCTAGGCTGAGGCTGACCTGGAAAACCTCGGAGAGCACCAGAGCATCTGCGCCTCAACCCAATGCCCTGATCCGGAAACCTCCCTGAGACGTTAAAACACCATACTCCAAACCCCACCCAAACTGGGTTTCCTGCATGATAACCCGGCTTAATTAACGTTCTCTGAGTACCCCGAACCAAGCAAGCCCCATGTCCTGTTCCAAGCCCTAGCCCTAATGGTCCATGTACCTAAACAAGGGATACTTGGGCCTTGAAGCACCTCCTACATAAAAATTTTGGGCCCCAAGTACACAATAGAAACCCTAAGCCCTAAACCCTAAACCCTAAACCCTAAACCCTAAACCCTAAACCCTAAACCCTAAACCCTAAACCCTAAACCAGGGCTACTTAAATCAGCCAAGGCTCGGCCAAACATGGCTCCTTTGGGTTGAAACAAGTCCCTTGGAAGTTAAGAAAAATGATGCAATTGAGCCGTACGGCTTCCCAGGCCTTGCAGTGGTTTGGGGTTTGGGGTTTGGGGTTTGGGGTTTAGGGTTTAGGGTTTAGGGTTTAGGGTTTAGGGTTTAGGGAAGCAAATCTTCAACTACACCCTAAACCCTAAACCGTTAGCCGCCCTCAACCCTAGATACTAAAG